TGTGTGAAGAGGACTCTCCATTTACATGCACAAACTGGAGTCTATTAGATAGATATGATACAAACCACTGCAGCTCTTTGCAGGCTGTTTGTATTCATGCTTATTACAAAGAAGCTGTTAGTGGTAACAACTTACCACAAATAGAAAGTGCGACCTGTAAGTGCACTGAGATAGAAAAGCCTCACGTTTACTTCTCTAAACAAACAAACATCTTCCAGGTGCTACTGAAGCTCCTGTTTGTTAAATGAATGTTCAATTTCCAGCATGTCGTTTCTTCAGACTTCAACCATCCAATCAAATAAATGAGACAGAACGAGTCAACAGCAGGAAAAGTTGTTTGGCATTGGCACAGAAGATTTGGCAAGTTTCTCATGGGTGCGACAAACATACTCTGCTACTCAACAAACGCATTTTCACTACAACACGGCATTTAAAGAAAGATAAACAGGCTTTACAACGGCACAGCATTTATTTCCACAAAGCAGTTTACAACAAAGAAATCATTGAGCAATCATCATGTCCTTACCTCACCTCTTGCTCTGTGGTGAAATGGTGTTATACATAAGTTAGAATATTATTAAACATAACAAAACAAGCTAATCTAAAGCAGACGCACAGACAACGATGCTCAAATCTTACCTGTAATAACCTGCAGCAGAGTCATGAACGTCTCTGCACAGTCTGGAGCCTTCAGATCATCCATATCACTGATGTCTTTATACTGAGAGCTCCAGGCTCTTTCAGCCGAGAGCATGGCATCCATCTTTTCCACTGCCACTGTGTACAGAGAAAGACTTGTGTCAGTCAGTGATCAAAGTTGGAGACGATGAGAGTTCACTTGTATTGTATATGCAGGCTACAGTAGGAAATCTGACGAGCAACAGTAACAGCGAAGAAGCCAAATGTTATGTAGTTAATAATAATAATAACAACCAGGCTCGTCACTGCAACTGATGCTACGACTTAATGCAAATCCTCCAAAAGAGTGAATTCTCTGCAGTGGATCATGCAGCATTGCTAAGTCTTTGCTGTAACATCAACAGTAATGTTGAGAAACTGTTTAATAAACTAGTGTCACTGGGAAACAGTGAGAGTCTGCTACTGTTAGAAACTTCAACCTTTACCGTCATTGCGCCGTGAAATGAAATCTGACGAGCAACAGTAACAGCGAAGAAGCCAAATGTAGTTTAAAACAAACATCTGTCACATTATCAGGATGATCTGAAAGGACTGCAGGACCTTTATGCTACAATATGAGGTTTGTGATGCTACATGTGCGATCAGATCTGTACACGTGTGTCAGTCTCAGGGTCCGTGGATTAGCTGCACTGCTGTCACTGAGTTCTGACCGTTGAATCAAATATTTTGTGCAGCTGCTGACACAAAGGCAGCACCATCTGACTTCAACAAAGAGGTCCAGGACGTCCTGTTGACTAAATGCGCTCCTGAGTGTGTTTGCTGTTATAATGACATTTAGTCCAACGCCGTGTTGTAGAATAACCAAGCTCGTCACTGCAACTGATGCTGGGACTTAATGCAAATCCTCCAAAAGAGGGAATTCTCTGTAGTGGATCATGCAGCATTGCTAAGTCTTTGCTGTAACATTAACAGTAAACTGTTTAATAAACTGGTGTCACTGGGAAACAGTGAGTCTGCTACTGTTAGAAACTTCAACCTGCATGACCGTCATTACACCGTCGCAGCATTAATGTTTCATCAGTCTCAGTATTAGACCGCGTCCTTCATGTTTGACTGTAATTCACTGCAGTTTGGGTTTTTACAGCTGCAAACAAACACACGGTCCAAACAGCTTCAGGATGAAGACTCAACAGCATCACAGTAAGATCTGCATATTGACCAAAGAGCTCACGTGTTCTGAGCTGTCAAAGAGGTGAAGGATGCAGGAACGTTTCCTCCTCTGTGACTCATTTATACGGTGCGACACGTATACTTAGCAAAGCAGTCACTTTCCACTGACTGGAGTGATGTAGCAGGTGGAGCTCATTCAAACAAAGTTTAGCTCATTTAATATTGAAATAACAGAATAACAAATGAGACCAAGAAAAACGTGGTGTTATTTGGAGCAAAGACCAAACCGTCCTTAAACTCACTCTTCTTCTCCATAGTGAGCCACTTCTGAAGGACTGCATCCTCGAGGAGGAGGTGAAGCACACCAGGCAGCTCTGCTGGGTAGGAATGGTTGCTTCTCAGCTCCTTCTCAAATTGCAGCACCTCCTCCACCAAGTGACAGAAGAGCACATCATCATACAGCAGCTTCGAAGCATCGCTGGCCACTTTCTCTTGGACTAGAGACAACAGGCCTCGACACAACTCCACCTGCACGAACACAAATGCACCGTTTCAGGAAACAACGAGTTTGCACGAGGCTTCCCTGTGAGCCACTCAGCAGAGGGAGGGAAACATGCTCGTGCTCTTGTACAATAATGAGTTGTAATGAATAAATCTGCCTCTGAGGTTTGATGTCTTTAGTCTCTGTGGCGTCGCTGAAATAGAAACTGTTCTGAACTCCAATCAAATGTTTACTGTTACAGTTCAATGAGCCGTGAAAAACAGCTTGTTTTAATCTTATAAGCATCAATTATTTCAGTTCTTACTTCAAATATCCTCCTACAGTCACTTTTATGCCCACACTTCAGGAATGAGTGATGCATACTAACAGAAACCAACCTTGGCACTCAGAGTTGTCCGTCCTCGGTCCAACACCGGCTGGATCGTTTCCTCCATGAAGGCGGAGTTATTCCCCATCCACATGAGAACCTGTGTGAGGTACCACTCTGGCTGAAAACACACAAAGAAGTTTATTTTGGATTGTGATGACAGCCACAAAGCTAGTCTCTGATACAGCTAAACACAGGACTAAATAACAGCCTGGATTAAAGTAATTTCACAGGGTAAGTTTACGCCAAACATACGATTCTGCAGCCATGACAGAGGCCTCAAGTACTCCTGCTCCAAACAGCACCCAGTTTATCAGCAGGAGGATGCAACTGCAAAAATAATCTGCTAACAATGACGACTGTGACCACAGGAGCAGACAGTTTGAACCATAGCAGCACAGACTGCTCAGAATCTAACAAACATCCTATAAACTCTTCCAATTAAGGGAAAACACGAGCTGCACAACAACTAAACCCCCAGGTGAGGACGAGGGGATGTCCTGGAACATGCAGCTCATCATCATCAGCACACAACCAGAACACACGCTTTGCCCACAGCAGCGTAATCACACGTGTTACAGTACGATTGCTGACATCGCCTCTCAGAGGGACGACTCTGATTACTCGGTGTTAATCTTTTCAGAATCAGGATACTTTATCAATCCCTGAGGAAATTATGTAGGAGCGAAATTTTCAGCCTCTTCTTGAATCGTTTCGTAAGCGATGTAATTACGATGCTTTACTCTTGCAGGAGACGTCCTGAATGGGTTTGAGGCCCCATCGCCCCCCAGCATCAATAACAAGCTGCTTATTGCAGAAGTTATGACACTTCACTGCCTGATTAGCACCCGGCCTCGAGCCAGGGAGC